TGAGTAACATTAAATAAATTGCAATGATGTCCTACATGCATCATTTAGAGGTTGGCCAATGACTTAAAACACTAAGATTCCTAAGATCTACAGGGGAAAGAAGTTGTCTGTTCATCACATTCATCTCCTGTGTATGGTAATAAATCCACTGACTAGAAATACAATTCACTAAAATAAAACTCATATTTCTCATAAAGGTCTTCATGAAAAAGACATTTTTTAACATAAAAATGTTCTTAACAGCTACTTCAAGAAAACCCTCTGTGATTGTTTCTATAGACACTCAGTGTGGGCTAATGGAATCCTTTAAAGCACCTATGGGTAAAAATCAACTAGGGATAAGAGAATGCGAAACAATGTAGTCTACATACTCGATTGCTTCCTGACTACATGAAATGACCTAGCGGTTTATGAATGGATAAGTGTCCTTGAAAACTTTGTCTCTCAACAGAGTTTCTGACTGAACAGTCATCAGTGCAGTTAAGACAGTACCCTCCAGTAAATGTGGAAGGGAGAACTATTCTTTGTTGTCAGTTAAATATGAAGTCAGTTTAGCTAGGGGAAGCAATAATGAACTTCTGTGAATGCTGAGAAGTCCATTCAGGACTGGTAGCTGAAAAGATGATCATCCTAAAACTAACTTCATTATAGACACCTGTTATAGGTCTCGTAAGTATTATCTTTAGAAATGGTATTGATCATGCTCCAAAGGAATATAACTAATATATATCAGAATCCCAATCCACAGTTCTTCTACATATAGCATAACTACAAGAGCTTTAACCAAAAATAAGTAACCACTATTATTTGATTATAGTCTAGGCATAAACATTCCAATGAGGCACACTCAAGTAAAGAATGACAAAAGTCAATGAATTTAAAGTTATTTAAAAGATTATATTAGCTATCCTTCTGCAACATTTAACATATCTACATTTCACTTATCAGGTTCAAGTGTAGGAATATAAAGAATATTATACTTAAGTGAATATTAAGTTTAGAGTGTTAAAGTTCAGTCACTTAAGTCTATGGTTGCCTATTCTTTTATAGAAACATGTTGACTTTCTACGGTCACAATAAATAGTAATGAGCAGGGTAGGATGTGGAACATAAAGAAAAGAACTGCTAAAAACAGAGTGCTGTAGGAAACAGCTAACTTGGTAGGAAAAAGTAGCAGAATACAAAAGCAGACAATTTCAAACACATACTCTTTTAGGAACACATAGCAAAAAGTTCTATGTACCTCAAAAGACTCCAAGAACATTCACTGTACAAGGCAGAGTGACAGGAACAGATTCAGAATAAAGTTATTAGTAAGGATAAATTACTAAGGAAGAAGGGAAATGTGTAATACTTGTTTTAAAAGCAATTCATCCAAAATATTTTAAATATTGTTTACTGTGCTTTAAACACTTAAATTGTAGGTTTCAGTTATACAGAAGTCTGTACTCCACAATAAATTTTAAATATAATGCTATAATTGTTGGGAGAATTTTAAGCTTGACTCAACAAGTTTTAAGGAAAATATGAGCACACCTACAGAAAAAAAGTTATCTTACCATCAATTGAAGACATTTAAGCTATGAAATAATATCTTGATCTACAGAAAATTAAAGATACATTTTATTAAAAGTATTTTCATTGTTTGGATCATTTGTTTCCACCCTACGTATTTCATCACATACCAACAAGTGTTGCGCTTGTTGGTCCTTTCTATCGCTGATAGAAAATTATGACTTCGATTGGGGAGTTTCTCTAAAAGTATTGATTTACAAGTTTAACAAATTTTTCAAATGTTTATGCACATATTTTTAAATATGTGTATTTAACAATTTCTTATAAAATAATGTTAGCCCATACAAAGAGACTTTGGATTTTAATTCTTTTTGTAAACGGAACTAAAATCAAAGAAATATGTAAACTTTTCGGCAAACCAGAGAGCTTAAAAATGACAGAAAAACGACTAGCTTGATTTCCCACAAATGAAGAATGCAGGTTTAGAAAAACATTAACAATTTAATTTTAAAAGTTCCAAATGCTAGAGATTATGCAAGGAAAATACTAGCTGGTGTACTGAGCCAAAATCAGTGCATGAATATTTTGGAGTTGAGTGTGGAATATTTTGAGGCCTCAACTGACCTACTTTCTCTCTATCACCACCTGTGAAAAGTCAGATTTAAAAGTATTTATTTGTTAAGAAAATACTAACACGTTTTTAATCTACAAAATATAATGTTCACTGGGAAAAAATAACTAATGAAAATAATTACATACATAATCATAATGAACTGAAATTCAATTCCTACCTAACCCATCCATTTCCAAAGTTCAAATCATAATACTACTGTTTTTTCCAAAGACTTTAAACCTAAAGAATTTAGATATATAATAATGTTTTAAAACTATACTAGGAGTATACCTAATTGTTTAAAATGTTAGCATTACTGTATGAGTGTTAATGGATATACTAGAATGATATGGGGGAAGGGTTGTTTTAGTATGGTTTTGTAAACTGACTGTTTCTAGAACAGTCAGTAGAGAATCACCACTTCAAAATATTTGTGTACAGAAAAGAATGCACACTCCTTATCTGCATACCATTAAATATGTCTACCACTATCCTGATTATATTTAGAGAAACTTGAAATCAAACATGAACACATTTTGCTTGAAGTTAGCACTATAGTTGAAGGATGCCAATGATCTCTAGTTCACAATGATTTCTAAACAAGGAAATTGGAAAAAGTGAAGGTTGTATGGCTACCTAAAGACAAATTAAGTTTAGAAACCAATTATGTTTCCACTATGTCTAACCTAAACATGAGGTCACCTCTTATTCAATATAATATTTTTAAATTATTTCATTCAGAAGCATGGTTGTTAGTAATTCTGATGGGTAGAGAAAAAGCAACAAAAGTTCATAAAAATTGATTTGTTAATTTTGTTTAATTTGAGGTGAGGCTACTTAAAACATACAAATGGCTAATTTATATGCACCATCAACTAACTGTACCTGAAAAACCATCTCAGTAATATACAAATAAATAAATACATAAATTGAAATCCAAGTCAGAAGGAAATTTATTTTACTTATTATGTGTAATAGATAAATATAGTCAGCACTTATAGTCATTTCACAGAATAAGAATTAAGCAAATAAAATAACAAAAATTCTGCTAGCCCAAATAGTTGTTCTCCAAGTCAGTGTGATATCATTGAAAGTTCTTAAACTATATATTAAATAAACTGACATACAAACCAATTTATTTTTCTGAATGACCACTCATAAGGCAGTCAATGAACATTAAGTGACCAAAACCCATAAATGACAAAAATGGATAAGCAAAAGGAATAGTACCCACCACTGACTATATTCCTTCAATAGCCATATTAAAAAAAAACAACAAACAACTTAGCAAAAGACAAAGTGAAGCTTACGTCTGATAGAACATATATGAAATTCATTCCATATTTAGAAGCACTGAATGTATTGAGGCCAGTTTTAAATCACCCTTTTAAGAATGTTCATTTAGTATTTGTAAAATAAAGGTAAGAAAATCAGTGTTGCTTATTTATTGTTCTGTTTGCCTAAAGATTTTGTTTAGATTTAAAAAAAAAATAATACACCCTATCTTCCTCAAAAGGTTGTATTCTAGATAGAATACGTGGTAAAATAAACAGACTGCATATTATTTTTTACTGATAACAACTCAAATTGCCATTAACTGTCAGGGAGGCAGTTCTTCCTACCAGAGAGCTGAACATTTATTAACAGTCCAAATTAAAAAAAAAAAAAGTCACTCGAAGTTACTGAATATGGTATAGTATAAGTATCCTTATAAAGATATCAAACACATCCATACACACGAAAAAAATACAGAGGTTATTTGCGCAAAGGAGAAAAAATTTCATCATTCTCTGATTCTTAGGGGATTATCATCCATGGCTGAGGTTGAAGGAGTGATAGGACAAAGTAATGCTGAATGACTCAATGGTTCAGAGAATTTCCTAAGAAATTGATGGCAATTATTTCAATTTTTTAATAGCCACCAATAAAACTAAAAAAAAAAAATAGTCAGCATTAAAATAAGTCAGTCTGAATCCTGAGTTTATACGTAGTAATTAGGCCCGTTTCTATATTTTCTATAGCGAGGAATATCACATTTATAATTAGAAAACATTGAAGGAGACCAAAACGGGGGGTTGGGAAGAGTACATGGGACAATGGAGATAGCACATGGGTGAAGTTGTGGTGGGAAGTTCGCGGGGATTACAACTGAGATGGGAAAATGTATAAAATGAAGAATAATGTAAATATATATATATACACACACACATATATATAATAAAAGATTAAAAGGAAATATACCAATGTAAAAAAAAAAATAAAAAACACTGAAGGAAAGGCTGACCTCGGAATAAATCACTGACACGAAGACTAGGGATCCTGCATGTCCCACTCAATAACTGCAGAAGCAGCACTAGCCCTGCACAGACTGGCACACAGTGGCTGCCCGTAGTAGGCACTCAGTGTTGGTGGATGAAAGCACGGAGTAAACACGTAAACACGCCAAAACAAAACCAACATGAACCGATTCTGAGGCAACACAGTATATAACCACAGTAACAACGAATTTACCAAAAGCTAGCTGACAGCTGAATGTGCACTAAATGAAAGAGCTCTTCCTCTTGCCCTCCTCTTTTACTCTGACACAAGATTGCACATTCAAAACAAATCCACCCCCAACCCCGCCCCAAGCCCTACCCTCAGCTGCCACCAGCACTGGAACTGACGAAAAGTCCGGGCCTCGGCGGTGCCCAGACCCAGACTCTCTCAGTGCGCCTGAACCCAGGGACACGCCCGGAGTGCCGGTGTCGCAGCGCCAGGACTATAGTCCCCGGCCGCCGAGACCCCCGGGGTTTGCGTTCTTCACCAAAACACTCAGCCCGCGCCGCCCGCGGCCCCCTTCCCTCGCGGCAGGCGGCGGGCCGCGCCGTACCTGCACACGGTGATCAGGTTCTTCCTCTCCACTGCAGCGTTTCGGGCGCTCAGGTTCTTCTTGCCGCCGCCGCGGCTCCCGCTCAGGCCCCCCAGGCTCCGGGTGGCCATGGCAGGCTGACCCCTGCGCCCCTTTTGTTTGGCGACACCTCTGTCACCCCCCACACCTGCTTCCTCCGGCTTTCGCTGGGTAAGCAACTGCTGGGGCAAGGGAGGTCTTAGGCTAGGAGCGGGGATGCGGGGGAGATGTGGAAGACTGCAGGGAACTCGCACCCGGGGAGCGACGGCTCGCGTTCCTCACCCGCGCTACACACATACCCGCGCGCACACACGCACGCACCACCCCCGCCCTCGCGTGCGCCGTCGGCCGCCGGGCGGCGCGTGCGGGTTGGCGTCTGGCGCTCCGTGACTTCCCGAGGGACTTCGGCCGCCGAGCGCGCGCGTGCCCGTTGGCCCCGCACGCCCAACCACCCACGCTTGGCCGCCACTCCTGCCCCAGCAGCAGCAGCTGCGGAGAGGCCACGAGCCTCGCGTTCGCAGTCCCGCCTTCCCGACACCTTTGGGTCCACACCGCCCCATCTGGAGCCAATCGTGGCGCGTGAGGGGTGGGGCCGGTGTAGAGCGCCTTATAAGCTGTGCGCAAGGAGCACCGCCCCGGCGCGTGGGTAGCTGTCAAGAGGCCTGGCTCGCGGCCGCCGGCAGGGTGCCGCAGGCAGTCAGAAGGCAGGGAGCAGCGCTGTGGGTTGCTTCAGGATTGTGGCGTGAGGTGGGGGTGTGGTGGGTCCAGTTGAGCCCCGGGCGGATTACCGACTCTGTCTTGGTGCTCAGTTTTAACGACTGGGATCTCTCGAGAGGCTGATCGTTTATTCGGAAACACATTCAGGTTGTGTGGTATCGGTTGCTATAGTACCTAGAATGCAGCAGCTGGGGCTGTCTTTCTCGACCTAAGACCTGATTCCCTGGACGAAAGCGGGGTTCCTTTTGTTCCAACGCCCTCCCCAGGCTTGATAAATTACAGCGACACAATAACCCTTAATTCCATGATAGCAATAAGGAGCATGTGCCTCTGTAATCTCCCTGCGCTCTTCTCCAGTCCTGAGCAGTGGCCCGGTATTTAGGTGGGTAGTTGTAAGCTTAGGGATTTCTTCATTCCTGGACCTTCCTCCAATGCTCCCTGAGAACTGTCGGGAGTCGCCCTTGCTGCCTGTGTCTGGAAATAGGCATCCACTTTATGGAGCTTTGTCACCACCCCTCCAGTTTAACCTTCCAGAAGGTCCAGGTTTCTGTGAGCCAGTCGGTGTTCTCCAACACTTTCCTGTCTTTCACTTCCCTTTGCATCTATAAAGTCCGTGTTTTAGAGTGATATCTTAATGACTACTGTCCTTTTTAGGTCTAACATGGTGGCGTGCATAGAGCAGGTTTTCAGTAAACTTAAATTTAACCTGAAGTAGCAAAAGACATGATTTTGTTGAAAGTTTACAGTAGCTCCAAAATCCATATAAATTCCACTTAGAGTTTTGAAGTATATTATAAAATATATTGTGCAGTTTAGGTAAGATATCTCTACTTCTTGTGTAAAGTACTATAGGAAGTATAGTTATTCTATGTTGAATGCCTTCTAGAAACAAGATTTTTTAAATAAAGTAGATTTCTAATTGCTGGGATATAATTTTTTTTTAAAAGATTTATTTATTTGTGCATGCAGAACTGGGGTACAGGCCAGAGGCTCAGGGGCAGTGAGAGGCTTCACCAGAGACTGAGTGGAGAGCAGAACAGGCAGATCCACGAAGTACACTGCTGAGGGGAGCAGCAGGCGGGTCAGGAGAGGTCTGCCAGGCCATGTGGTCACCTCCGGGGCAGGCGGGAATCGAACTCATGCAGAAGTGGCTTTAGCTTCCCAGTGCTGTGCTTTAAGCTGCTGCGCCACCAGGGAGGGCCCAATTTTTTTTTTTTTTTAATCGTCAGGGCAAGGACTTTTCAGCCACTAGGTATAGTCATAGTATAATAAAATCTGTGGAGGAAAGAAATCTGTCTTAATTCCTTTACAACTGGTATTCACACATTTATATTATAGGAAAATAATCTGGATGATATGAAACTTTGTCTTTCACATTAATAAATATCAAGAGGATTTTCTAGATCAGTGCTTTGTTTCCAAATATTGTCTTCTATAGTGTGATATAGAGACTTGTCAGTAGGTGTGCCATACTAAGGAGCTACTATGTCCTGTATGTATGTATGTACTATGTCCTTCTTGCTAGCCCAATAGTTTGAATTCAGAAGTAACCATCAAAAGCAGATGTTACTATGACAAATACTATTCAAACTGTAATTGTTTAAAACAGATGAAAACTACATTGAACAAAGAGTGAAAAGCCATCCGTTAAAAAATTCCTAGACACCCATGCTGGTTTGTCCTAAGGGAGAGTGAACACATACATATTTAGAAAACAAAAATGAGAGGCCATGTCAAGTGGAGAAAACTTAGGTGTTATTATTCTCAAAATTGGCTTTCTACCTCAAGTACATTTCCATATTATTTGTATTATGATATTATATTTATGAAGAATTAGTAAAACTTAATTTTATATTATTAAATAATAATACTAGTTTCAACTGCTACTTTTAGAGACATTCAGTTGACATTAGTACTTGCTGAATTAGATTTCACAGTAATGCAAACCAGTTTTTACAGGTACAGTGACTCATTAAACTGCCACATGGGGGCCTTATTTGATAAAGATTATTCTTAGCCATCCTGAGTAGTATGTCCTGGATCTCATTCTTTCTCTAAATTACTAATCTGGAGATTAGTAATTAATTATAACCAATACAAAGTATTCTACTACTAGAGAGCCAAATGAGTTTCACATTATTTTTTGTACTTCTTTTTGTGCACCTATTGTAATTCTTTATTTGAACATTGCCTATAGGTTATTCAGAGACATAAAAACAAGATTTACAATAAAAAATAATGAAAACACTGGAGGACTAATTTAACTATGAAAATTCTATAGACTTGCATGGGTAGATCTATTTTCCCATCAATAAAAGACAAAAGATCTTCTCCCCATCAATAAAAGACAAAATTAAGGCCATAACTTATAAAGTATCTTCAAATCTAAACTATTACAAGCCAGAGATGTTACCAAATAGTTGTTAATTTAATTTCAAAGTAAACTTTCTAAGTAAGCCTCAAACTCAATAGCCATATAGAAAAGATTGATGAGATAAAGACACAAGTTTTTTTTTTTAATCCACAATTCATCTTAATCAGAAGCAAAATCAGAAGAGAAAAAAAAAACAGACACACATGGACATAAATTTCATTTACTACATAAAACTCCCATAAATCAATAGGTGCTATTTCAGTAGAACAATGAAGATGGAAGCCAAATAGGAGGAAGCAAAAAAAGTTGGCCACACAATTCTTTCAAGAAGGTATGAGGGGGACAAAGCAAGAGGAGTGCCATAGGGAGTTGTGGAATGGAGATAAGTTGGTATTTTGTCCCCATTATTGTATTGTAAACGTCTCATAGAATTGACTTGAGCACATTTTAAAGCTGATGGAATGAATTTACTAGGTGGGAAATGTTAGTAATGCTAAAGGTGGGGATGGTGACCAAAATGGGAAGGCAGAAAAGTATTGGGATCCAAAGCACAGATGGATCATTGAACTTTAATTAAAGATACCAATTCTCAAGTTAATGAGAGAGAAGGTTTGTAGCTGAATTTCTATATTAGGGAATTGAGAAAGTTCCCATCTGATGGCTTCTGCTTTGATTGAAAAGAAATCACCAGCTGCAAGATTCAAACAGTCCTTTTTATAGTGAGTATTAGAATAATTCAACTAATGAAATGTAGGGCCTTGTGAATTTTTGAGGACCTACTTGAAATGGGTAATGATGGATTTCTTGTGTGACTTTGTTGGACATTGTCAGGTCTTAAACATAGTTGCCATGCCAAAATATGATAGCCTGAGTGGTTTAAGCAACTAATTACTTTTTTTCACAGTTCTAAAGGCTAGGAAGTCCAAGATCAAAAAGCCAGCAGATTTGCTTCAGGTTAAGAACTCTATTCCTGCCTATGGGTAGCCTTTATCCACACATGTTCACATGACTTATTTGCATGCAGGGGATTGTATAAGGGATGGGAGAGGTTGATATCTACAATATCAGAGGAGAGATTGATATCTATATCTCTTCTTATGAAGGCATCAATCCCATCAGTAAGGTCCAGCCTTATGATACCATCTAACACTAATGACTTTCCAAAGGCTCTATCTCCAAATACTATCACATTGAGTGTTACAGCTTCAATTATGAATTTTGGGGGTAACACAAGTATTCAGTCCAGAACAGTTAGGCTGTTGGTATGTGAGTAATAAGGAAGATGTTTATTTCATGCAGGACTAAGATTTTATGAGGGTGAAAGGAAAAGACAAATACAAAAAGTTTGGAATATTAACAAGAATGTGATGAAAGAGGGATGAAAGAGTGATGACCTGTTGAGTTCAAAGGATAATAATAATGGATAAAGTTAAGCAAGCAACTATGAATGGCCATTGATGACTGTTGTCAGAGAGTGGTGTGTTTGAATTAACAGTTTTGGAATCAGAACTGTTTTGTGTAATGATAACATACGAGATCTAGTTTGAGAATATGTGACAACGGAGGAGTAGAGGGGTAGGTCTAGTGATGGAAGGAAATTAAAAAAAAAATCAGAAGCCAGGCTGTTGAATGACCAGTTATTTTATGTTATGTTATTATGAACTCTCCTGGAATTATGGCAAAATATAGAGTACACAGTATTTGCTGTGTTATCTTCAATAGCTGAGGGACATTAAGTAGGAGTTGGTAGATGGCAATACTTTCACATTACTTAAGTCACAAAGATTAAGAACAAATCTTGTTTACTTGCTTTTTTACAAGAGATGGGGAAATAATAGTCTAGAGATGGCAAAAGAAACCAGGGAAAATGCTATTCCTCTGGTCCTGAGGTATAAAAGGGGTGAAAATACTTAAAACAAAACAAAACAAAAACATCCGTTTGAGAGTACAGCAAGGGAAGCAGGGTCCTCAGGAGAAATCCAGATTTCCGTTGAGGAAACTGGGTGGAGGGACCATTCAAAAGAAGGGGAGGATTTAAGGAAATAGTGCCAAAGAGCAAGTTCCAGAGAACATCATGGAAGGGAGTGGCGACAAAGTCAAGGGCATGGCGTGCAAAGCATGTTGCTAAGGTAGTGTATACAAATGGCGAGACAGACATTACTTCTATGTTGAAGAAGTACTTTGACAGGTCTCACAAATTGTTCTTTGTAAAATGGCTTATTCTTTGGTAAGGGTTGATCAAAATAAGATGGATTTTGCATTACAGCTTTTTTGTTTGGTTTGGTTTTTAGGCTTTAGAGTTTAGAGCTTTTCTTTGTTATCTTGTAGAGAAAGATTAAGCCAAAAACACACACCACACACAGTGCACAGTTTCTATTAATCTTCACAGC